GAAAAATATATGCAGATCGCTGGAAGAAGAAGTCAGGTTTAAATTCAATTCGCAAGTACTCGGTGCACAAGCAGAACGCGATTGAACGTTACACTCATTGTAGGTGCTTTATTTAATAGGGCTGGAATTAACGACTCCATATATTATATGTTGATATAATTTCTTTAAGTATGTATTATGCTGTATTATCCTGATAACCATGAGAATACTTTTTTTAAAACTCTTTTTTAACAATTAGTGTTAACCTTAACATACTCATAGTTTCAAAGAAATTTTTTCTTTTTAGTTGTAAGAAAAAAACTTAGGTAAACTATATTTTATTTCACCCTCGAAATGTTATTGACTTCAATTCGTTATTATAGTTATATCGATATCTGATGTTTGATAATTGTAAGGTCCTTTTAATTGTAGTTATCTGTAATAACAACATTGGTTATTATTGTTGAAAAGCTATTCGATGCCATTAAAAGGATGACATTGAATAGAAGACGTTTAGCCCTATATATAATAGATTCAGCATGCACTGTAAATGATGGGTCGATTTGTAACATAAATCGTCTGCCACGGAAGTAGTGATCATCTCTGTGTTTTAATCTTTACTTTAGTTGCTTTGGAGAAATTTTTTTCTTTAAGAACAAATCAATTTAATCCCAGAAATATGTTAAGCAACAGTTAAGCAATATAATTCTTTTGGATTTCATTATTTTATATATTATACATATACTATCTTAAGTATTACTTATTGTCATTTAAATCAACCAGTTTCTAAGAAACTAAGAGCATCATCATGTTCAAACGAACTTTGTTATTTCTATTTATATAGATAAGCTTTCTAATTACTTTCTCTTGCCTAGCTTGGAGTTAGGTAGGAGTAGAATACTATGACAATAACTCTTATCCCCCCGTATGTTAAAATATTAACAACAGCTGACATTCAGCCTTTTATATGAACAGCTAAGCATGTCTTGCTAGATTAGAATCACTCTGCAACACAAAACATCTTCATTGAGTGCATTACTCTACACCTTTAGCACATAAATTACTAGTCTTATTTGCTTAGTTGTAAGTCGTCCTTGATCGAATCCATTGGTCTCTTTCAACCAGTCCAATCAATGACTTAATCTCGCTAATTGGCAATACCTAGTGCTCTCATATTATTGTTCATCTGTTCCATCCACCGAAGATCACGACTACCATACTATCATGTTTTCTTGCAGTGAGTACCGAATCAAACAGTTTTTTAGCCCGAGCAGTCTCTTTCATCCGCATGTTTTGACCAAACCAGCGAAGCCAGGTTATCAATGTCGCGGAATAGTGACATTCGTTGTATATACCACCTAATCGCACCAAATAATTCGACACTCATTGCCAACGCGTAACTACTATTCTATTTTATACTTTAATTGCTTTTAGGCATATTTCTTTTTAAGAAGAGGTAAGTTATATAGTTTTTTTTGATTGCTATTAGCTTAAAAAAACTTGTATTCGGAGATTTTCATCAAATATTTTATAATGAATTTTGATCACCTGAATTATTTTGCATTTCAGTGAAATGTGTCAATAGCTGGATGTCAAATTTTTGTGGCATTGATTTACGGTTTTCGTCAGCGGTCATTCCCAACAGCAACTATTTCTCATATGAGTTCGCCTATTTTATATGAAGCAAATTAAGCATTTAATTAAATATAAACGTAATACATTTACAGTAACCAAAAAATAACTCATTATTGATAAAATAATAATATGCATTGGCATTTTATGAAAATAAAATTAATTACCGCAAAATGTCTGCAATGGAACGTTTTTATGGTGAATGCGAAAAAAAAATTAATAAAAAAAATGTTATTTTAAACAAATTACTACCAAAATCCTTGTTGCAGTCAGTTTTGCTTAATATATTTTTTTACGTATATTTTCTTTTTTGTATTATTTCGTATATATAAATATTTTTTTCCAAGCACGTACATCAAAAGTAATTAAAAATATTTTTTAATTAAAGTATTAATAAAATGTAATCTTATTGAAATGCTTGTTGTATTAAATATAATGCCCATTAAATGAGAATAAATATGTTTATTCATATTAATTTTAATCGTTATATTTATAAATATTAAATAATGGATTTCAGTGCAATGCCTTTTGCATGAAAATAAAACTAAAAGTCTTAAAACATACAATACATAAATAAATTAATAATGGAAAACGTTTAAAAAATTTATAATTAATTTAAAATAATAATAATAAAATATATAAAATAAAGCTGTGTATTTATGAAAAACTGCAGCTGTCACACTGGTTGACTTTATTACATGTTAAGAGGGACTGGAGCAGGAGGTCGACGACGGCGGTCAGTGATTTACAAGTGTTAATTATGAAATTTTATTAATTTTTAGACTTTTCATAAATGCCTTTTTTATTCATATAATTACTTAAAATTAACACAAAATTCATATGAATAAAAAATATTAATATAAATTATGTTAACGACAGATTTCACAAAAAAAAATCAGTAGCAGTAGTAGTAGTTGTTGTTGTTGTTGTAGTTGTTGTATTAAATCGGATATGGAAAATGTGGAATTGAATATGTGAACGATTATTATAAGTAGACTTTCATAAATAAATTAACAATATAAATTATTTATAATTGCAACAAAATCAATTTAAATTGACAACAGTTTCAGTAACAATATTTGCAATTGCAATGTTTATCCAACTGCTCTATTCGCCCATATTGTAATGATTCCGGGACTTGTAGGCCCACCCAATTTTCGTTCGGACTCATTAATAATTTATGGAATAAACAAAATGTAACAAAGTTTAACACTCGACACTAAGCCCAAATTAATTTTTTTATTCCCTCTTTATTGTATTACAATGGCAACAATGAAAATAGAATCAAATAAAGAATCATTTTATTTATTTTTAATTTGTTCTGTTGATATACGGTACGACGTACATAATTGATTGAACATTTGCCATTAAATATTAAAAATACTCCTAACATGAAAGAACTACGATTGGGTATTAAATATCACTGAAAATCTATGTATATATAGTGGGTAAATATATTTAAATATTACAGAATGAAAGGCCAAAATACTAAAAATTGTCATGACAAAGGGTTTGCAACATTCAAATTCCAAGCTTTATAGCAAAATCCATGGTCAGGGCCAGGACAGTGGATATAAAATGGCAGGGGAAAAATTTAGTTTCCTCATAAAGCCAATAAATATGATTTAGAAGAAGCAAAAAAAATTTGGCAAAATATCAAAAATCTGAAGTATTTAAGCGTAAAAAATACTTAAAATATAGAAAATTGATTTAAATCCAAATGAAAAATTAACATTTGAGATAGAAATAGAAAATAGAAGGTAGAAATAGAAATAAAAAGATAAACAGAAATAGGAATGGAAATACAAAATAGAGAAAATGTAAATAGAAAAGGAAAACAAAAGTAGAAATATTTCTTAAATAAAAAAAAAAAATTAGAAAAAATTGAAATAGGAATAGAAATAGAAATAGAGTTAAGAATAGAAATAGAAATAGGAAATAGAAATGAAAATACGAATAGGAATAGAAAAGTCAGTAGACGTAATAATGGATATAGAAATAAAAATAGTTATAGAAATTTAAATAAAATTCAAAATTTGAAAATAGAGTATAAAAAATAGAAAAAACAAAAGGAGCAGAAAAGAAAAGAATAAAATATTTTTGAAATTAGAGTATAATAAATAGAGAAAAGAAAAAGAACATACAATAACATGTAGAAGTAGAAGTAAAAATAAAAATGAAAATGAAAATAGAAATCGAAATACAAAGATAAAATAGAACTATAAAGAGAACGAGAAATGAAATAAAAATATAAATAGAAATAAAATAACAATACATATATAAATAATGAAATGGAAATATAAATTAGAAGAAGAAGAGAAATAGATTAAAAATATAAAGATAATTATATTTATAATAAATATAATTAAATATAAATAATTAAATTAAAAATAGAAATGGGTTTAGAATACGAAATTGAAATAGAAATTAAAAATAGAAACAGAAATAGAAATAGAAATAGAAAAGCAATAATTATAGAATTAGAGTTAGAATTACAATTAGAATTAGAAGAAATTGAAAGAGATGAAAAAACATGGAAAAAGAAATACATATAGAAATGAAAATAGATTTTGAAAATAAAATGTAAAAAAATAAAATAAAAAAAAAAATAGTAAATAGAATGTAACAGAATAGTAACAGAAATAAAAACATAAACAAAACTAAAAAGAGAAAATAGATATATAGAGAAGAAGAAATAGATACAGAAACAGAAATACACATACAAATACAAATAGATGAAAAATTGGAATAAGAATAGAAATTAAAATTAGAAAAACAACATAAATCGCAAATAAAAATAGAAATAAAAATATAAATAAAAAAAAGAAAAAAAAACAAATAGAAAATAAAAAACAAGAATAAATAAAAACAGGAAAAAAGAGAAAACAGGCTACCATCACTTGTAAAGAATTGCGATCATTTGTTCTTTTAACTAATCCTAACTGAACAGAACATAATCCGCTCTTTCAGTGAAAGTCAAAATATCAGCCGTTAAGGCCATATTGACGAATGGCAATAGAAGCGCCCAGTCCAATAATTTTTTCTTCTCCTGATCCAAAGTCTGACAGTTACAGAGAATATGATAAGAAAGCTTATCTGTTTTCCAGCAATTTTTTCGTCATTTTGTTTCATCAGGCAGGTTCATTTTGTTGAGATGATAATACAGAATATGATAATTTCTTAAAGATGTGCAGAACTCCGCATTTTACTAAAATCAAGATCTACAAAAATCGATCATTGAACTTTTTATTTAAAAAAAATTTATTTAAAATTAACTAATTATCACCAAAATTTTTATTTCAATGCCTAATTCACTGCTTTATTGAACCAAAATCAAATCAAAAAATACATTAACAATTAATTTACACTATCGGAAACTCTCTAGTTCGTTAATCATCGTCAAATAAATCATCATAATGATGACCTGGTTCCGGTGCCGTATAAGGATTTTTTAACATTAGAAAATCATGATAGTTCCCTTGTAATGCTAAATAATTTGCTCTTATACGTTTAAGAAATTCATTCTGTGCGTAAGCCAATCTATCATCACGACCATGCCATATATCCAGTGCAGACGCTTGGACAGCTCTAGAAAATATAAAGGATATTCGCCACTTATTTGTCAAATTTAATTTTACAATTTCATTTAAAACTTCTGTAGTTAATTTTTCTTCACCAGTACTGGAGAGAAACATAATACCGTACATTGCTGGCACAATATTTGTTATGAGTATATCATGAGTGGCTTCAGCCATTTGTGTAATTGTGTATTCTGTGGGACAATCAACACCTTTCGTTACCCATTGCAATGCAATTACAGTGCCTTTAATGTATACATTATGTTGAAATAGTGTCGCTTTTAGTATACATAAAGAAGAACTCAATACTTGTTTGCAACGCTCTAGAGTATGATCACCTTTATATACGCCGACTATCACAATTACTGGGACGATAGCTACCTTTTGACAGAATGCAGCGAATAAACTGAGTAGTTCAGCATGTTTACGTGCTAGTTCTGGAGTGAATTGGGACATATTTAAACGCATTTGTGCTTTTGTAAAATCACAGCCTGAAATTTTGAGTGCATTCAAACGTTTTGGTAGAGTATCCAAATCAATTATTACGTTCCTTTTCTCAAAATCATCATCGATTGATTTTGGACCATCCATACGCACACCTACTGCAATTTTATAGCTTCTTAATATGTCTGTGAATAATCTACCATCTTTCGTTCGCTGATAGAAACCTTCTCTACTAAACACAACACCAGATATAGCTTTTGTGAATTTTGGATTTGCTGTTATGAAAATTTCACGATATCGCGCTCGATTATGTGGATTGTTTTCGAGACAGTATGCATTAAATTTTACATTAAAATGACGCTCTGATTGATCTAAAGCTAAAATTCCTTTATTTTCTTGAAATAACCTTTTCACAACCGAAAACAAATGCGATTTAGTTCGATCTGATAATGGTTGACTCATCCTGAAGCCATTAAATTATGTCTCTTTTTTTTTGTTGTTTTTAAAGATTTTAAAACATTATTCCAAATAAGAAAATAATTTTTGACATTTTTAGTTTTTATTTTTATATTCAAAAAAATTTCAAATTCTTATAGAAAATCTAAATGGAATATAGTATCACGTACTAGATTCTAGTCAAACAGAACACTTCGATAATAACTGATCTTTTTAGCTGAACAGTAAACATTTGGTTTTTTAAATGAAAGCCAGCCAGTCAGCTGTTCAGAGTATCCAAATATCCGATAGGGGTAGTAGAATCAGCCCAATAGCCTTCTACAGCTCCGGATTAAAGCCAAACAGTGACACAGATAATAACTAGAAGCCTAATCCGTTTCCAAACAGAGTAGTTAAGCAATTCCGGTATCGGCGCATTCAGGTCATTGCGTTTTAGGAAGATATTATAGGAAAAATTATTATTTGCAGTGCTATTTTGACGACTTTGTCAGTGGCAACAATCTTAACAAAAAACAGTCTTTAAATTATGCACTTTTGTTGTAATAATTTTTACCCTCTTATCAACCTCTTTTGATGTGTTATTGTCATTGTCATAAATTATGAAAATTAAGATTAAAAAACTTTTCCAAAAATTTTATCAGAATACGTCAGAAAAGGGTGTAACAGTTGCCAGAATAATATTATTAGTCTACACTCTAACAACTTTTATGGAGATAATGGCTCTACGAATGAGGAGAGAACTGTACTTCATTTCACGATTCACTCTCTATAGTTGGCTAGTAGGAAATTATAAATGTTTGAACCCCATTTTCTCACACACCTGGCAGAGGTGCCAATCCCTAAAAGAATGACATTTACAAATAAATCAATTTAGTTAATTTTTACTTAAGAGATAAAATAGGGCCTTCTCTAATGGAAGCTGTTTATGTGTTTAATGCATCAGACTTCTACTTTTAGAGTGATATTGCTGTTCTGATGTATGGTTGCTGTCTTATCTTTGATATCAAAATGGCCTCTTATATATGCTGAAAGAAGAAGTTTTAAATGTTTGGAGCCCATTTTCTCACTGACTTGACAAAGGTGTCAACCCCTAAAATGACATTTACAGATATATCAATTTAGTTAATTTTTACTTGAAAGATTAAATCGAGAACTCTCAAATAGAAGCTGTTTGGGCGTTTAAAGCACAAATACCTCTATTTTTAGAGTGATGCTTCTGTTATGAAGTATGAATGCTGTCGCATCTGTGGTATCAAAATCGGCTGTTATATATGCTAAAATGAACTTCGGTGCATAAGATTGTTACTCAAACGTAACCTATTCCTAGACAAAATATTTGTTTTAATGATAAATATAATAAAGGTTTTTTTGTATCATTTTGGAGAATTTTGAGAATTTACACCTCAATTTTTTGATAAAAAAATTTTCTGCAATAAAGTTTATATGTATTAAAATGCGCTACATTTGATGAGAAAACGCCGCGAGATTAATGTTGTTCTATCTTATCCCGTATGTTTATCTTTAGCTAGAGTAATAAAACTAGCACATTCGAAAAACTCAGGAATATTTATAATGATAAAAATGATTCACTTCTCGTAGAATTCGCCACTTATCCTCTATTTATCTTCAGTGCATAATAAAGTTTAATGTCAGCTCATAAGTTGCTCTAAATACCTTTTAAAAACCAATTATATGATTTTTGATAATTTTTATTTTGATACAAGAAATTAGTAGTTTACTATCGAAATATCTTTCAAATATACCTCACATATCCTTGGAAAATCTACAAGTTCATAACTAGAGAGTTACATGTTACAGTAAATAACATTTTTCCTATCATCTCAACTCGGTTTATAAATTCTGTACATCCAAATTTAAATAACAAACATTGCTAACAATGGAATTCAAATATTTGGCATTAGATCAGAATTAGAATATTTCACTTCAAAAATTTCGAAATAATACTCGTACGAGTAAACTGAACTATTTCAGATATTTTCCAAAATGTAATGCCTACACTCACAAATAATAATTGCACACTGAATCCTTTCAAAATGCACTAACAACACAACTGTCAAAGTGTTGAACAAAAGCCTATAAACGTCAAAAATCAATCAAAATGACGCGTTAACACCGGAAATGGGTTTTTAGCGCTACGAGAGTTTACTAATGGGTTGATAAACGAAATCATGACACGAGGAAAACAAAATAAAATCCAACAAATATTTTATAGTAAAAATTTTTAAGCCATACAAATGTGACCACTAAATATTAGTTAGTAAAATAGAGATAACATATTATATATATTGCAATATAATAAAAATATTGCATTAATCAAAATATTAACTTTACTAGTTACTTTTAATAATCACATATAAATATTATAATTAATAAATATTATATTAATATTAAATAACTAATATTAATTAGTAAAAGTCATATTAATTTCCAATTATTATTATTCGAATTATTATCAATTTCGGTATAATCACAAATCAATATTCATAATGAGTAATTATCATAAGTAGTAAATCACAAAAAACTATTACTCGCTGAAACCGCAATTTTCAAAAATAAACGTTATTATATTGTAAATATGAGTACACTAGTAGTATTAGCATAACTAACTAGTAAATTATTACAACTAAAAATTATTAAGTGGTACACGTTATAATAATCACAAATAAATTTAAAATATTATGTTTAATATAGTAATTAATAATTAAATAATTAAAACTAGTAAAACATATTAATAGTCATCAAATATATATCACAAATAGTAGATATCATATTCATTATAAGTAATTATTATTAACTCGTAAAAGTCATACTAATAACAAATAAATGACATTAGCTACTAAATATCGGAATAATCACGAATTAATATTAATAACTAGTAACAATTGTAACGAGTAAATAACAGCAAACTATTACTTATTGCTAATAAATATCAAAATTATTACAACGAAATGTTATTAACTGGTAAATATTGTAATAGTTTTTATTTTTTACTAGTAATCATCAAAAAAGTATTAACTAGTAGCTATACATACTATTCATCGCAACTTATGTTCACACATTTTATCAGTAAGATTATCAGTAGAATAGAATAGAAATAAACAAGGTACCGTCTTCTAACGAAGCGGAGTACCGCGACTATAGTTGATCTGGCAACTGACCCTAACCGAATAGAAGATATTCTGCCTTAAGAACGAACACCAGAATGGCCACCATTGAGGACCTCCTAATGTCAGATGGGGAATAGTTCTGGACCCAGCAACCTCCACCTGGACCAGATCAAAGCTGAGCAGTTACAGAGTATGAGTCTGGAAGTCTCGTCTGCTTCTAGGCAGAGTTGACAATCCATCTCTTCCGACAGACCCATTAAGACCCATGGATCTTAACGGGTCCATAGTGACCCGCTAAATATATCAAGAAATATCAATAAGGAAATTTAAATATATTAGTTCAGTACCTTAATTTAAAAATTTTAAAAATTTAAATAGATCAATTAGTATGGATATATAAATTTAAATGATATTTAAATCATTTGTATACCTCAAAAAATTGCTTTGTTTCTTAAGATTGGCAATATTTTTAATACATATACATTTTAAAACATTTCTTTTATTCATGGAAATATACATGGAGATCAAAAAACATTTCGAAGCTTTTGTCTTTTCTTCTACTATTGTTTAATAAATCTGTATATAGTAGATTATACAGTAGAATAAAGGAAATTAGACTGTAAGCCAAATATAAACCGTGAAGCAGATGCTAGATAAAATAATGGGAATTTAATTTAGTCATACCATGAACTTCAAAATCAACTATATGAATATAATATTATAAAGAAACCCAATATATATCAAATATTTCCGATGAGGCAGATACTAAAGAGAGTATGAAAATATAAAATTTCCACATATCACGATTGTTCAATATAATTTCTATATAGTAGAATAAATAAAATCTACCGCAGTCCAAATATTTATATTAACATTTCTATAACATTACTATATATCATTTGTTTATAACCTTAAAAATTGCGTACGACCACATTAAAAGTTTCATTCTATTTAAAGCAATGGAATAACTACTCCAAAATATCTACAAAAAATCAGGAGTCAACATCAGAAGAAATAGTATAAATAATAGAGAGAAGAAAATATAATTTCCATGAAATAAAGCACTTCAAATATTTGGTGACAAGTATCAACTACAGAAGTGATGTTAGCAAAGGAATAAACCGAAGGCAAACAGGGCTTATTCCCTGAAAAAGAGATCTATTGGAATTTTAAAAAACTTGTATAACCTTCTATCTATTATTTCTTGATTTGAACTTAACTTTTAGACAAAATTTAATATGTTAACTCAAATTCATAACAAAAACAGAGTTTAATTATACGCCTAAAAGCATGACCTTAAAATTCCACTTAAAATTCTTATAATACAATAATTATTAGTTTTATTTAATGCAAAAAGTAAATATACAAGTGTTAATATATGTAAAGTAATTAAAGTAATACTTGCTACTTACACATTCATGTAGATTAATAACAATGTGTACATTGTAAATATAATATCATGTTTGTATTAAAACGCTTACAATGTTTACTTAGCAAGTGTTTTTCTTTTGCACCGTGAAATTAAAAAGCAATTGAGAGCTTTAAAATTTATAAATCGCATTAAAACACGGCAAAAGCCAAGAAAATTGAGCAAATATAAATGCTACTAATTGCTAGTATTTATTACTTCTCATACTCCAACGCCAAAGCCTAACCATGCTTGAGCGCCTAAAATATGCAATGATTTTTAAAGAAATTCAAATTGCTTGTTCAATAACTTACTTCAATGTTATTGCAATGAGTTTAGCATAGGAAAAACCACAACACAACAAATGTAGAAAAACCAACTAAAAACAAAGTCTAATAAAAATTGTTGGGCTATATAAGCACTCAGACGCGTAGTATTAAATCAACGCCCACTTTTATCAATACTAACTA